AGCATGCTTGATGCATCATGATGGTAAAGATTATGTTGTTTAGTAATCCCTAAAACACAAAAAATAATATTTTTCTTGATACAATGTAGACAAAAAAGAATCGAGTTAGGCAAATAACTTTATATCAAGCACTTTTTAGGAGGCAATAATTTTTTTTTTAAACTTTCAATTCATTTAGTTTGTGTTTTGTGTTAGTTATTATTTATTTTATTGTGAATAAGGTACAAAGAGAAAACTTTCAATATCTCAACTCAAATTGCTAACATCATAAAACTAGATTTTGTGTCACTTTTGCTTCTTTCCTTGGCTCTCACAACCATGTTGTGTTAAACCATTTGAATTTAATAATTAATAAGTTTATAATTGTCTTCAAAGTTATCATTTTTCACTTTAATATTTTTACTGCATGGTTTTTATTGATTAACTTTTTTTGTCCCTTGAGGGTATGTGCAAGTTGTGTGTATTTTTTCTAAGTATTTTTATTGATTTGTTAGCGCACACATTTTAAAGTTTAATCTAAAAATAATTATGATAATTATTAGGTTTACTAATATACCAAAATTGCATATTCTTATGATCCAAAATGTTCTTTTTTTGTATTCTATAACTAATCTTTGTTTGTGTTTAAGATTGTTTAATATGATTTAATTATTTTTTCTACTTCTTCAAACTCTTGATGCTGTAGTATTGTGATATGTTGTAGTAGATAATCAATGATGAATAAATCTATAGTTCTAAACTTCTTTGTTATGGTCCATTCATTTTGCTATTTTTAAGTGATTTGCATTATTGTAAGTGCAATAAATTGCTTTTAATCTTAGTTTTGTTAGGAGCAAAGTTTTATGACTACATATTATTATAAAAATTATTTTAATTTTAGAACTTATTTGAGTATTAATCAAAATAAAAATTGAATTAACAAATAACAAATCAACAAGGAAAGAATTTAGTTGTCATTTGATTTGTATAATCAATGCTCTTCTAGAATCATTTTGTTATATAATTTCATATAGTTCTAATCTGATTGTTTGCTAACCAATTATCTTATGCTTTTGCAAATATTTGTCATAAATATGGGTTTACCTTATAATTTTCTACATAATTGTAATAAGAATAGGTTGAGCTGTTATTACAAAGCTTTAAATTACTGAGTTATTTGTTATCCTTATGACACAATAACTTATGCAATAAATTATATGTTTATCATTAGCAAAGTAAAATCTAGCCAAGTCATATTGGTATCTTATTTTATTCCTTAATGCATTTTCTTAATTTTTTTTCCTATTTTTTCTTGAGGACAAGCAAAAGTTTATGTTTGGAGGACTTTTGGCTGGACTTTAGAGAGGGGCGATGACTTTGGAGAGATCAGATAGCAAAGATATTTACCTCGAATTTTGTTCTTATTTATTATATTTTCTCTATATTTAGAATTTTTACCTCTAGTTTTCCATTTTCTATCATCTGTTAAATTCTTTTTCTAGGGGCTATATGTTGCAATATTATATGTTTAATTTATTTGAGTTTGATATAATAAAGTTTCTTTTAATCAAATTTATGATGCACATTTCAATATGGTTTTGTTATTCTTAGAGGTACTTAGCTACCAAATTCTAAATCTAGTGGAATTGGGTGGTAACAAAGAAATTCTTCATGGTTACCATAACCAATCATGAGGCATTGATATCTATGTTGCAGATGTGTAATATTTAAGTTTTTTTATATTTATTGTAATTTACATCATTGAATTTATCTCAAAGATGTACATATTGTAATTTACATATGTTGTGGTTGGTAAATTAGTTTCTCTTAGTTTTTTGAGAGAATGATAGAGAATATTTTTGGATCTAATTACGATTATTTTTATTTTGACAAAAAAGTATCTAAGATAATTTCTTTTGGTATTTTCGTAAGGGAGTAATTTTATTAAGCTTGAATATGGTCAAAGTCAATCCTTTTTGATCTGAATGGAAAAAAAAGTTTTTTTTTTTATTTAAATTCTATGTCATTTTAATTTGGATGCTAAAGTAAAAAAGAAATGCTGTTTTGATCTAAAATACATAAGAGCTCTTTAATTATAGCCTATTATTCAAGACTTGCTTCATCATATTAAGAGGTTGGCTATGAAATATTTTTATTGTAGCACATTGGGAAAGTAAATCCCATAGGCATCAAATATACCACAAAAGTTTTTGAGAAATTATGTAATCTAAGAACTTAAGTGGAAACCATACCTTTTTAAGTAGTGTCAAAGGCTTTTTCTCAAAAAGGTGTTCAATGGAGCAATGGTGGTGATAAACTCATTAATGAGTTTATGGTAGAAAATTGCTAAAAAAAACTATGCACATAACTTATTTATTAGATTGAGGCTAATCTAAGGTGGCCATGACCTTATAATGATATGTAGAAATCTTGATGGATGAGATCATGAAACCTATAAAAGTGACCTTGGGCTACATAAATGAATACTATTTAAAATAGAAAAGAGTATCTTAGCATGAAAAATTTAACAAATTAGTCATAATGACTAGGCGAGCCAATGAGGAAAATGAAGACCAGTAAGGCATCACCTAATTGATTTTGGTACATTTCTTATCAAACATTTTCGATCGTATAGATGAGGTGATGGATTAATGCTCAATTTATCAGTGAAAGTTTTCATGGTTCATTTGCATCAAATTGCATTTTTACTGGTTTGATGAGAAATGAGGCTATATATATTATCTGGAAAGAGAAAAAAATTATAAGGTCTGACCTAGGTGAAATTGTCACACTATATAAGCATTGATTAATAAGATTTGTTCATCCCCCAATTTAAAGAAGCATATATTACAAGAGAATGTGGAGGTGGAATTAAATATTGCAAAGTTGCTATAGGATGAGAGGTGTTTAGATGATTATGCCTGAATGACGATAGTTCAATAGTGTTTGGTCAGGTACTAGCGACTCAATAATGATGATTCAGTGGTAGTGGTTCGATAAGGATGGTGGTTGTATAGAGATGGTCTGGTGATGATGGTTGGGTGGTGGCTATCTGACAATGGTGGCCTGTCGATAGTAGTTGTTCGACGACTTTGGTTGAGTTGTGAAAAAATCTAACAATAGTGGCCGAGAAGTGGTGATGGTCAGGCAATGAAAGTTTGTTGATGGCGGCCTTGCGACAATGATGGTTCAATGGCAGTTGTCTAACAATGATGATTCAATGGCAATAGTGTTCGATAACTGCAGATGGATGGTGGCACTCTAATGACATGATTATGTGAATATTATCCAACAATGGTGGATTGACGGTGATGGTTGGGCGTTGCTTTAATAATAGTAGCATGACTATGTTCAATGACTATGATAGGGCGATGGTTTGACAGTGGTGTTTGGGTGGGAGCTCTGATAATCTTCAAACATATGAGCTTTCTTAAATCTCATGCCAAGGATTCTTTGTATGTATAGAGTGGGGGTTTATTTATAGATTTTGGATGTGGCATGCCTCATAATATAGAAAAAATCTATAACACTCTATCAGATGGTTCACATTGATTCCCTTTATCTTAAACAATTCCTTTTACATTTAAGTGTCTTATTAATATTAGAATTTAACAACCTTTGCTTGTTTGATTCGTATCATTGAAATGCTTGACTAGACTATAAGCAAGAAATATTTGGAGATCATTTGACCATTCAATTAGTATCCCAAAATTTTTAATCATGCTTCATGTCTTGATCTACTTGATCTAGGTGCATTTAGACTTAGTTGTGATCACTGTTGGTGTCGATAGGTTCTTCTCATTGAGATGTTCAATTTGACTATATTTTTGCTAAAATTAGAGTTTGAATATCCTTGAATTTAATTAATGAAGTTTGTTTTTCAAACATTCATTTAGATTCATGCATGATTAAGCCAATTTTTGATTAAGTATCAATATACATGATGATTTGATAACTCTCTTCTTATAGACCCATTCTCCACATCTCATATCTTTCTAGGGAATCTAATTCTCCACATCTCATATCTTTCTAGGGAATCTAATTCTCCACATCTCAACACATAATATGAAAAATAAGTAAAATGAGAAAATGTAATGCCCACTTTACTACATCAAGATAGAAAATAGAAAATTGAGTATCAATCCTTTCAAAATCTACATCAAGGAGAGATTCAGTTGCAGGATAATTGAAGATGATGAGAAAATCTTGATTGCTAAGGGAATCAATCGACGTTAATTTGAATTGGGTTGTCATAGATTCAATGCAGTCATTGTTAATGAATCGAAAACCCAACCCACCTTAACCTGTTAATTGGGAGCTTTAGATTCCTAGTAAGATGTCGTAGGTTCGAGGCTTGCAACAAAAACATAAACAACAAAAGAAAAAAGAGGATAGGACTGGGCCCCACTAGAGGGAGTCTCAACAAAGGCCAAAAATGAGAAGGAGAAGAATGATGAAGCTTAGGATTCGGAGGATCTGATTTATTAACCTTTTGGTAACAGCTCACACTGCAGTCTCAAAGAGGTAGTAAAAATATAAAGAAATGATCGATCTGTCCTATCACCAATCAGTCTAAAAAAATCCTTTTAAAACTGAACCTGATCACAGGTCACAATACTGATTGCAAAGGAACAACATTCTTATATTAAGTGAAAAGCTTGAAGCTATTAAAGTACTTAACCTTCTTATCATACACTAAGAACATATTGAACGAAAGAGCACATAAGCACTTCTGAATGTAGCCTTGTGCTTTCCAATAACTCCTCTCTTCAGTTCTTCATTATGGAAGTAATTAAGAGATAATTATCTCAATAATACTTCCTAATCATGCTTTTATCAAGCTAATCTACAACTAAATGTCACTCTCTGTCTCTCTCTCTCCCATTTCCAGCTTCCACACACGAAAACATTCAGACTTCACAGATCTCTCATTTGCGACCATGCACCATAGAAATCTATTCTTTCCTTGCAATGTGAACACATTGTAGTCTGATTAATATCAAAAGAGACAACCAAATCCATTGAAACAAGCATAGATATTACCATAAACATAGCACTAAAACATTACAGAATATTTAATGATAATAAGTAGAAATTCACCCTCTAATGAACTTAAAACAAGTTTCTATACCCCAAAGACTCTTGTAAGTCGCTGCATTATGTTAGCCTGAGCTCTAAGATAGACAACATAATCTAGAGTCTCACTAAGCAAGGAAATACCATCCAGGCTTTCAGCCCCTGGTATAATGCGTTTGAGCACTTGTGTCCTCTTCCTCACAATCCTTCTGGCTAGAACACTTGGGATAACTCTCGACGATGATGGCGAAGGGAAACCTTTCTTCCTTACCTTCAACCGCGAATTAAAGCTCTTCCTCTTCATGATCATTTTTCTCTTAAGAAAACTTGAAGTCCCATGGTAGCCATGTGGAGAAGCTATGCTTTCAAACTCTTTACAGTGCTTCTTCCCAATGAAAGCCTCATTGTTCTCCTTCTTAGCCAAGCCTGCAATTAGTGCTCGGCTCCAGTTTGCACCGTCGCCTCTTGCCAAAGCCATGGCGGCATCTGCCAAATGCTTGATTTCCCTTTCCCTCTCATTTAGACTCATCATTCCTCCTGAAGAGTCTCTACTTACATGGAGTCCCAAGAGGAAATGCTTGAGGAAGTCATGCTTGAAGTTTCTTGGAGCTTGCATTGTTTTTGAAGGAAGAGAACAATGTAAAGAGCTAGTTTAAGCTTTGCTTTATATGAAAGGAAAAAGGGAAGGAGAGAGGAGCATGATGAAAGAGTGTGGGGAAGAAAGAGGAGGAGGGAGCGGTCATAGCGATAGGAAGTATCTGAATTATGTTCTGCTTAGAAGCAGTCCACATGGCTTTATTAATCTATAATTAATGCCTTTTGATTCCTTTAATTGCAAGTTGCATGGTGATGAGAGTGCGCAACAAGAATGAGGAAGCCAGGCAAGTGCTCTGGTGCCTATTTGATAATGGAAAAATGTCTGGCTCAGTACATGCTTAGAGCTAAATTACAGTGTGAAAACATTTAAAATATGAAGAAGATCAGAACAAAAATATTTTAGCACAGGTCCCAGAAATAATTAAAAGATAATTTTATATGAAGACATTTATTATTTTATTGTTCAATATATACAAAAAACAAAATATTACAGATACTTATTGTTTAGAAGTCAAGATCTTATCTTCCAAAATTTCAAAAACTGTATTGTGATTCAGAAAACTTGTCACATCTTGAGCAAAACTGAGCTAAGTTCTCTTGGAGTCTTATGTACTTCCCTCAAAATTACAGGGGAAATAATTATTTTGGAGGTATTTTACAACAGTGACGGCTCATGTCAACTTCTCTTCTATTACTGTGCTCCTAATAAAAACTGGTATTTTGGAATACTAAGTTGGTATAGAACATCCCACAGATCTACTAAAGAGACTAAATACAAAGAAGAGGAAGACAAATTTTGATTTAAAAAAAAAGAGAAAGAAAAGCAAAAGAAATTCAGGCTCATGGCTTGGTTTCAGAAGAGGGGAGCTTGTAGTAGAAGACACACCACATGAACGCACATGGAGCTTAAGGCCCACAGTCACATATAGGCATACCAACTTAGCTCACAAATTACACCATTAATGCTGCTACGTACAGTTCAACTGGACTACAGAACCCACAGAACCTTTTATATTCTTGTGATCGGAAAACATAAAAAAAAGTTTGAAATTAATAGAAATAGATCTATATCATGAAAAGAAAGTAGCTTTGAGGTCGATTCTTGTCAATTAGAATTTTCCTTCTGTTTTTTCTTTTTTTCTTCTGTAAGGAGAGAGAGACAGAGAGAGGGAGATGAAGGTGGTTCAAGCTTTTATTTTCTTGGTTGATAATTGAAGTGATGTGAAAAGAAGAAATGCAGGATCCGGGAAACATGGTGGGGGATGTGGGGGCTAATACTTTTTCTTCTGTCTCCGTCGGCTTTGATGAAAAAAAGGTAATCTCACATGGTGCCCACATGGGGGTTTTTGAGCTCTTGAGCTCCCCACAAAGACTCCTGTCATCTCCCTTTTATTATTGTTTTAAGTGCACATGTCCTTTTGATCTCCTAGTTCTTCTGTAAAAAAAAATTCTGATTATGACATGAAGTTTTACTGGCTACTATGCATGGTCTTTGTTAATTCAAATTATTTCAAGCTGGTTCAAATGTTTCTCATGTTGTATTTGTTAAAATCTATTGAACACAATGGTAGGTTATGTTATCAAGTTTAGGTGGGTGAGACACAATTTTATTGATAGATATGGAGAAGATGGTCTGGATATTCTTCATTAAATTAAAATAATGAATATAAAGTAGATCATCATGTGACTTATATGACTTTTGTTTCCAATTTATTATGATGGTAGGTGAGTTGAGAGAGGTGATGAACATTGAGGACATATCATTCTAAGTTAATTTACGGTTTCATTTGGAACAACTTTCTTATTGTTTTGTCTTTCAGACCGCAATCACTATTTTTGTTTGCCCATTGTTTTTTTTTTTTTTTGCTTCTTTAAATTTTTTTTTTATTAGGAAGTTACTTTTTTTTACAGCAGCTTTATGAAACAGCAAGAAAATCATCCCAAGCAAAGCCTAAGTTATACTGAGCAAAACTTTTGCATTATATTCATGTGGTTTGGATAAAAAAGGCTCTTAGTTGCATTCTTGGCGAGGGAATGTGATATATCTTCCATTTTCATGATGTAGATTGATTTAGCTCCCCAAAGAATAGGATGGTTTGTATAAATCTATACTATAAGACTTCCAAAGAGTGGAGTGGAAGTCTCAACCATTTTTCTACATCTTTCTATTAAGAGATCACCATCAATTAAGAAATTTGTTGGGTTTTAAGTTAACGTTCAGAACAACTATTCTATAATGATTCCATTCCTAAACATTTTTAATACTCTTATAGTGTTGCATGTATGTTTAATTGCACCACATTTCATATTTCTTCTTAAAGTTGTAGTTGGTGAAAATTTCATGCATAAAATTCTTTAAGGTGGAAGCCAATGTTGATTGTATACCCTTATAATGTGATGCATAAAATTCTTTAGATGATCGTACATGTAATTATATAGGAATAGGTCATATTATTCTTCTAATTACTATGGTATTATAGGATTGATTTATGCATATACAACTGAAAGTTCTATATTTAATTTTTTTTTACCATTTTGTAATTCTTATTTTCATATTATAGCCATGTGAGGATGCCCACTCATGTGAGGGTTTGCAAATGCCCACCCTAAAAAAATTAATGTATAAGAGGGATAATTTTGGAACTTTGCTTCGCTTTAAAAATAAAATTTTGGCCTAATATGATCCATCTCGCGTTGTTTGCCCATCCATCCGAAGTTCCGAACATTTCCTTTTCACGAATAAATAAAAAAAATTTCCTTTTATAAATTTGATAGCAATATGTAGTTTAAATATTTTTTAAAAATTTATTATTATTATTATTGTTGTTGTTGTTGTTGTTGTCGTCGTCATCATCTAATTAATTAAAATTTTGCCCACCCTGAAAAAAGAAGCTAGATCCGCCATGTGGGCACCACACGAGATTGTGGGGAGCTCAAGAGCTCAGTTTAGTCTCCAATAACATTGTGGCAGCCACTAATTCTAAAAAAAAATGAAGATCAAATCTTATTTAAGATAGTCAATGAAATAAGATTGCACATTTAACAATATCTCACTTGGAGTCTGAACTTCCAAAATGCTGGCTTAATGATCATTTTTGTATGCTTCTTCGTTTAACACTTCCAAGGCCATTAAGCATAAGGCCATCATTGGAAAACTTATCAAACTTTGCCTTATTATTGTGCTATTTTATTTTTTTACCTATCATACAATGCCTATCTATCCTTTATAAGCTTTAACTTGATTGAAAGTTTATTTTGCACTACTCTCCCAGAGTCATCAACAATAGATTTCATTATTACACTCACTAGTTTTTACTTGATGTCATATATTAATCTCATTCTTTCTTCTATGAGTTTCCACCATAAATGTTAAACCTAATATGTTAACATGCAAAATTACATCATGCAACACATAGAGTCTACTAACTCTATTCGCCTTGAATACAACCAACTCACCTTTAAAAACCATAAGAGTGTCAGCATCACTTCTAAATCTATATCTTGCAACACTTATAGCACTTAAGGATTTAAATTCTTCTTTAAATGTAATGCAAACATGAGTCTAGCCAAAAATATCATTATACCACCATGAGCTTTTAACTTCACAATGCCATAACCTTCAATCTTGCACATAGCCCCATTTCCCATGTAAAAATAGTTGCTAGAACTTGGCTTATATGTTAAAAATATATCTAACTTGAAGCACATGTGATTAGAACTAGCTGAATCTGGAATCCAATACTCTTTACTCATATTATTTTTAATGACCAAAAGATCATCACCAATATAATAACAAAAAAAAAAAAAAAAAAACTACAATAATACTTGCATTTGCTAACTTATCCTTTAGTGTTCACCATATGCTTCTTGCTCTCTCTTTCAAGTGTCATTTTTTTTTTCTTTTAATTGAAATAAGTAATCATTTTCAACTTATTTTGAGATCTACTATTGATATGATTATAAGAGAATTCTCACTCATGGGATATTTATCAAACCTACATTAAAACCTTTAGTTTATTTATCCCTTCCCTTAATCTTAGAAATTATCTCCCTTGAAAAAGTGAATTTTGGACATCCTTCAAGCTTTTTATTTTTTATTTTTATTTTTTTTTAAGACATCCTTCAAGCTTATTTCATCATGATCATATATATGGTATAAGTGCTTGTAAGAGGCGTAAAGAGCATAATAGTGATAAAATTTAACATTCTTCAATAATAATCGCATTAATATTCCTCAAAATTTGAATAGTTGAGTTAAAATCATTTAAATGTGATTTAACATGCACACCTTCCTGTGTTCAAGGAAAAATAGATGATCTACTTTTGATAAAATTTGTTAGAAAGACTTTTGATTAGAAAAAAAAACTAATTTTTGCCACAACCTTTTTGCAATTTTCACCTCTAAGATCTCCATATAAAGCTCATATATCAAATGTAGTTGAATCATTGAGAGAGCCATATCATACATTTTTATCTTTTTTTATTCACTCATGGTTTCAATCATCTTCTTACACACATGAGTTCTTTTATAAGTTCGTCATGGTTATCTAAAAGTCAAAACACTATGAGCCATCAAATTTCTCAATCTCAAACTTTTCATGATCATCATACTTTTCATAAATTTACTTTAATACCAATTTTTAGGAAAAAAAGTGTTCCCTCATCCTAGGGCTAAGTATGATGAACCACAAAAGAGATCAATTGCCATAAAAGAAAATATCAATGTTTTTGTGATTTGTCTTAAATAAACCTTTGCCTATGGCTACACAAATTTGGAATAATCCATTAAACTTCATTGAAAGCACACAGAGTATTATACTTCATATGGACAATAATAATATTATATTTAATTAAGAGATAATACAATCATCTGCAATAAAGATGAGGCAAAATACAAAAGAGATTTGTTTTTGTTCTAATTACTCTCTTTTATTCTAATACAAAAGCTCAAATGAAAACCATTCTCTACTATAATCAAGTCTTTTTCTCTTTCTAGAACTAATATGCGGCATTTTTTTCTTTCTTGAAAAAACCAACAAACTATCCTTATAACACCCAAGAAAAAACTTTATCTTTGGATGACACCTCTCTCATTTCCCTTCATTTTTCTCTCCTCTTATTGTCTCTTCTTGTTCTGGGATGCTACATAAGTGAGAATTACATGTTTTTGGGAGTTTACCTTCTAATATTAATAATCAATCACAATTATCGACCTTCATACTCCATTGCAAGCTATGATAGCATTTATTTAAAGCTGTGTAGTAGTCACCATTTAGAACTGTGGAATTTTTTGGAAGCCTCTATTAAAGTTGTGGTAGTTACCAATCTTTACAAAA